GGGGATTAAGTTTTTATGGTCTGAGTCTTCTCTCCATTTTTTACAAATGTTCGTTCGTTTCTTAGAGTGAAATTCCTGACAAATAACGTTTTAAAATAGTGGAGCGATAGCCCAGGGATAGCATTTTTTTTTTCTAAATTTGAGTCAAAAAATATAGAATTTTGTACTAAATAACTCATCTAAGCGTATTTTAAGCATATTTTAAAATATCAAGACAAATATCGGAAAAAAATTCTTTTCCTACGAGGGGCACTCAATAAATAATGCCTCAATCAGATTCCATAAAAACTGGGTTCAATTGAAGATTTTTTCGCTCATGATTTAGTTCAAAATCTATTAATGGCCGTTTACCTTACCAGGTTTCATCATCGAATACTCCATTGAGAAGCTGGCATATAACCCCTATTCGAGACACTTTATGAAAACATGAATGGTAAGTCATCTTCCAATAAGACTAAAATTAGAAGCTACATCAAAGCATGTGTCAGACTGGAAAAAGACTCGACATTTTCAAAAAATTATGTGATGTGCATGGTAACATGTGCACGTCATTAAGACAAGTTTACAGATATTTGAGCCGATTCAAAAATTAACAAACAGACGTTGATGATAAGCTACGACCTGGAACGGCTTCGACTGATGCAATACTTGCAAAGGAAACCAAAATCGTCCATATTGATGGTCGATTGACTATTAAACAGTTAGCAAATTTAGAAAATATTTCATCGGGGACAGTTTTTTTTTTTTTTTTACAATTTTAAAGAAATACTTGGCCTCCTAAAGGTTAGTGAGCTCTGGATACGGCATCTTTTAACAGAAAAATAAAAATGCTTGCGTCTTGAAATGTCTACGGAATTTCTTTAAATGATGAAATATAGATACATCATCTTAAACCTCAGAGAAAAATGGATAATACTTGTATGATATGGTTAACTAAAAAGGCAAAACGCCCTGTTATCGCAAAAAGATATGAAAGTACAAAAAAGAGTTTTATACGCAATTTTCTTTAACAAAGAAGGTCCTGTAGTTCAGGTTGCTATTCCAATAGGCTGATCAATTACTGGACACGTATATAAATATTATGTGCCGAAGAAAGTTAAGAAACATTACGAAAAGAAAGACCGAAGTCTGGAATCCGTTACATTCGACTTCTTCATGACAACTCCCCAGCACATGAATCCTAGGTCGTAAGATCATTTCTGGAAAAAAGAAGTTTCACGTTTTACCGTTATCTCCCTTCTTACCAGAATTGTCTCCCTATGTCTTGTTATCTTTTCCCCAATTAAAAAAAAAAACTTGCCGGGAAGAAGATATGATTTAAGGAGTGCTTTGGGTTCTGCCATATATCAGTTCATGAATTCCATGCCCAGAAAACATTAAATGAATGCATTCAAAGCATAGATAAAACGATTGACATTATGTGTGTCTGTCAGAGGAGAGCATTTCGAAGGAAATCTTTTCAAACCATCAGGGTAGCTCACTCGGAAGAGCGCTAACTCCGTGATCGGAAGGTCGTGTGTTCGAAACACGGCCGCGACTGACCCAAGTCGATAAAAAATAGGTACAACTGTTCTTTCCCTAAGTGCTCGATTCTTTGAAGTGAGAGTTGAGGGTTCTTTGGATGCCACCTTAAAAACCGAAGCTCCCTGTCACGGTAGCCGTTCGTACGACAAAGATCCTCACTGCTGAATGGCCCTGAGTGCTGAGTAAAGGTCTAAATTTGAAGCTCTTCACCGCTGATGTGATGTAACATTGATGTCATTATTTATTGAACGCCCCTCGTATATCACAAGAAACCAAATTATCACCAGAATGCTAAAATATCATGTGTTACATCTATGATACGTTCACTTAATAAGCGCGCCCAGAATCCTGCCAAATCCTAATCAAAAGCGCCCTCGTTCATTGTATTTGCTCTTTACAGTTAAGGAGGAAGATTGCGCAAAATTTTGAATGCGCTATTTTATGTACATTGACACTATGTGCTGCGAATGTTTACACCCTTTGTCCTCAGAACATTTTTTATTATGTTTTACTCGGGAGAGAGAGAGCAATTATAGCAATTTTTCTCATAGGTCTCGTTATTTTTTGTACTTAATTCCACAATTCTCCATCTTCACAGTCTTACTGATGAATTTTAAAATTAAGCATTTTATTGAAACTGCTTTATTGAAGCTTGAAAAGGACAATTATGCGTTCAAATCGATTAATCTATATTTTAGTGAACATGCAATTTCATAAAATCGTCATTTCAATCATCCATATTGTTTTATTCACATTTCCTTCTTGTTTTACTGAACGACTGAATTTAAATTGTGTTGAATACATTATTTCACTTGTGCGTTTCATGAATACTAAACAATTTTGTATTATTTACACATCAATAACATTTAAAAAACAAAAAGTAAACATTCCTTAGGTAAGCCATAACTGTTGGACGACAATATGTGCAGTGAGGGTAGGAACATATTGCTGCCGATGTAAAAATGTACACATTTGTTTTTCAGCTGTAGAGAATATGCGTCAATGAACAACAATATATGCAGTGAGGGAAGATGCAAGTTGTCACCAACGGCAATATGTACAGAATGACAATCTGAACCGTCACAAGGGACAAGTGCATACTACATTTTCAGCAAAGCTCTATTTTCAAGAAAAGCCCTCCTACCCACCTCCGGTGTATGTACAAATTTTTATGACACTTAAAAGTCAGACGACCCACTGATTCACAGTTAATTGCTTCAAAAATAAATATATCTACTAATATTGATTGATTGTTTATTGTTTAGCACCGAGTCGGCAATTTTTAGGTCATATTTCGGCAGCGCTGTTCTTAAAAATGTAACTGTTGATATTAGATATTAGTATACCTCTTAAAAATGGGCCTCTAATTACATGTACATGTACGTTATTGATACAAAGTCAATTCATTTTGATAAAAAATATCCACTTATACTCATCACAATTCTGTTTTCTAAGTAAAAGTCCTTAACAAATGAATAATACGATGATCATGATTTTTTTACGATGTAGATACAAGGTTGAGTGCTCATAACAATCATGCAATCAGTTTGAATGCTAGATAAACATACGTAAAGAAGAAGGTTTCTTAAAAATTAAAACGGTGAAGATGAGGAACATGTGCAGTGATCAATATCAACAAAATCTACAAACAATACACTGTGGGACGTGGAGACCGGTCCTTCAAATGAGACCGTATAAACAGAGGTCCCGTGTCGCAGTAGGTGTTAGCACGAAAACGATCCCTCACTGCTCAATGGCCCTGAGTGATGAGTATAGATCAAAATTTGCATCTCTCCACCGACAACTGGTGGCGACTCCATATGAGTGAAAAATTCTAGAGAGGAACGTTAAACAACACACAAACAAACAAACAAACAGTACAGATTCATAAATCACGGACCCTGAAAACAAATGTGGGATTAGGCGCCTATAGGAGGAGTTAACATTCCCTGTCGACCGGTCACATCTGTTGTTAGCGCTATACATATTTATAAACCGTTTTACTTATCCCCACTTTGGAGTCTTGACGCTGAAGCGTCTTTTCATTTTACATCTTGTATATCATCATGAGACAAGTTAAACAGTCTATATATATATATATAAGAGCATGCAAATATTAACAATGTAAGCAACTGAAGACAGAACAAAAAAAAAGAATATAAATTGAAAATTATAGTGTCTTTCTTAAATATATGATCTAAAAACTATTAAGCTGACATAGAAATAAATTACATCACCTCATGTAAAAGTGTGTTCATTCTTAACATTGTCGCTTCCTGAATCTTGTGATATGGTTTTTGCTGTAACGAATTCTGATAAGCCTCTATAGACCCAAAGACATCCCCACAGATTTGTTGGCAAATTCCAATTATTTGCCATGATATATCTCTTAGACAAATGGGTATATAAGCCCCATCATCATAGAACATCAGAGTCTGTAGCTCCCGTAGATATTGCCGAGATCTGACTGTGTCACCAAGTTTGTGGTAACTCAGTATTAACAACATGTGAAACATTACTAGGGGTGGGATATCTAAATAAAATTTGGTATTCCTTTTACTTATATTCTGCTCTAATACAAGTTCATCAATGTAAGTGTACACACAGAGTAACCTTGTACATACTACTTGAATTTTTAATTTGTTATGCAATGATATTCCAAACATGTAGTGTCTGTACACATCTTCATTAACTGCAGCAGTATGTATATTATAAGCCAATTGTATGCTACTCTGTGCTGTATATAAACAATTGAGTGAATGTTCATATCTACATGTTCTGTACAAGTACATAGCAAAATACAGAATGTCTGACACGAAACCTAATGAACATGACAGCTTCAGCAATACATTTGCTTTAGCAGATGCTCTGTAATACATCTTATTACAATGTTTATTCGGATATGTAAATCTCTGTATCAAGTTGGTAGTGGCCCGTAACACCACTGATGTCATATTTTGTAATACAGCAACCTTATATTTTGTCAACGTTCCGCTCATAAAACTCTCTATCTGTTTCATGTAAACGTAGAACTCCTCAATACAAAAAATACACCCGTTCAAGTCAAAGTCGTTAAAAAAGCTACTATCTAACTCAGTGCTTGATATAATACTGCTTTCCTCTGTACGGACTGTCAATTCTCTGTTTAATAGGGCGTTACAAAGGTAAGGTCTCAAGGTTTGACTTAATAGCAGACAGGATATCCCCTTACAATACAAATCATATAAGTTATTGAACAATGAAGATTGGACAAAACCAATGACTTTCAGTCGAAACATATTGTTCTGAGGAATAAAAAAGTTTGGACACTCTCCAATATGTACCCAGTATATCAAAAGTTTAAAGCATTCCCAGAAACAAGACAACAAGTTTGCTGGTGTCCAAGTCAAAACATTCTTATTCTGAATTGCCCAAAATAGACATGTTTTTATGAAATATGAAGAAAGTACTGGTGTAACGTTCTGAAAATTAATTACCTCTTTAAGGAAAATTTTAAAGAGACCATAGCACAAAAACTGACAATGATTCATTGAATAAACAAGTTTTTGTTCTGCTAGCGAGAATGAGATTCTCCATTCATCTCCATTTTCAGGTGTGCTACCGATGGGAACAACATGGAATCCTCCGTTTAATATATCCGATACAACATTTTCGGATGGCCAACCTTGTTGTCGACATCTTTGTATCCATGGTAGAGCTCCTATCGGCCAGTGCTGTGACTGCAAACAGTATGCATTGTCTACTTCGTTTTCTTGTTGTACGACAATCGTAGAACAAGGTCCATGGAGGAAAGGAGAGGCCCAGCCGTGACATTGGGACCAGATTAAATGCAAATGGTTCTCGCGAAACAATGTACTAGATATATAAACTTCGTTATTGCTCATTATACAGGAGGATCTGATTTCTGGACTAGTTGATTGAGTCATTAGATTGAGTCTGGTAAATCCTGGTGGTAAACCCTCACACTCCATCAGAATCACGCTGTGCTGTGGGATATGGTAGAAACTGATCTGTGAGAGATCGCATATAACCTTGTGGTCTGTATACCAATGCATGAAATCTATATCAGAAGTAGGTAGTCTGAATCCCTCACGTCTACTCCCACTCGTCATTCTGTCAAATCCCCGCATGATGTACACAGGTTTACTCACCATTTCCTCAGTGTCCATCTTTTCCCTCCTGAATATCACTTCTGTAGGGCTCCCTACTTTACGACACAGTCCTACGTAAATCGCTTCTGAGAGTCGAGGTATATGATGCATTCCGATTTATCATAAATTTGTTTAATAGCAGAAATCTGAAACGCAAACATTCTTTTATCTTTTGTTTACTTGTTAATACGTATTAAATAAAATATCAATGTTAACTGAATATTTTTAAAGGGCTTTTTTTTCATTAATTGAGGCCGCCATAAGTAATAAATGTCAATCTGAGAAGGACTTCTTATGATAAACGTACACATTATATGCTTATTCTTCTTCCCAAACATTATTAAAATCTTTTTCTATAAATAAATTTTGTAGCTCTTGCTCTTGTTCAAGAGTAATATCCTTTTGACGGCAGTTACGTAATAAATCGTATATAAAAACCGGGTTCAAATAGCCAAGGGTGATTTCCTGGAAGACATCTTCAACGTAATAAAACGTATATAAAATTCCACTGTTATACAGCCAAAGGTGTTTTACCGTAGACTGGCCAGAGATTTTGCACAAAATCTTACTATTCAATAACGTTTTAATAATTATAAAAAAAAAATAATAATTGAAAAATCAATTGATTTTTCTCGCAAATTTATATGGACGCCATGCTTATTTAAAAAAGTACAGATTTACATGGTTTAAATTTCTTTTTAAAATACGTACACGTTTGGCAGTGCGGTATTTATTAAGACAATTTTAGCATTTGTCCACAAACTTTATGGAAAACCCTCGTACATTGAAAATTGCATAATCGATATTTTGCAAATAATTAGAAAAACAGCATATTGCAAAATCAAAAAAAACCTTTTTGATAACAAGTATGTTTATCTTTTTTTTCTTTTTTTTTTTTCTTTATTTTCTTTTTTTTTTTTTTTTTTTTTTTTCTTTGAATCTCGATCCCTCATGTAACACACTAAGCTATGCTAAACAACTTCAATCTATTCAAACATAATGTTCCATGGATGTATTACGTACACTTTATCAAGAGAGAATATTACGCAAGAATACTGCGCTTAAATACCTTAGAGCTGTTTTTTACAACTTTTCATAAGCGTACTGAAACGTAATTTAAACAATAATTGAAATGTGATTATTACGTAAGAAATACGTTAGAGCCGTTTTTCATGACTTTTCATTTCTACACCGTAGTGTACTTAAAGTTGCATAATGAGTCAAAACCATGTGTTTCTTTTAAGAAAAGTGTATCACAAAACAAAAGGTTTCTGTGAAATATGAATATAGCGAAGTTTTGACAACTCAACTGCACTGTAAAGCAAGAAAAACTAGAAATATGTCCATAGGACATGAATGCCCCGCCGAGGGTATATTAGTAATGCAACATTTTAACACAAATTGAGAAAAGTGAGGTCAAGGTCAAAGGAAAGGTAAAGGTCAAAAAACATTGATGCAGTTGAATAGCTCTCATCGGTATGTATCAGCATATGAAGTTTGACACTAATTTAAGAAAAGTGAGGTCAAGGTCAGAGGAAAGGTCAAGGTCAAAAAATGTTGATGCAGTTGAAAAGGTTACATCAGTATGTATAAGCATATGAAGTTTGATGAAAATATTATGAATGGTTTCTTTAAAAATGAGCTAAACACTAATTTAAGAAAAGTGAGGTCAAGGTCAAAGAAAAGGTCAAGGTCAAAATATATTGTTGCAGTTGAATAGCTCTTATCGGTATGTATCACCATATGAAGTTTGACACTAATTTAAGAAAAGTGAGGTCAAGGTCAGAGGAAAGGTCAAGGTCAAAAAATGTTGATGCAGTTGAAAAGGTTACATCAGTATGTATCAGGATATGAAGTTTGTTAAAATATCTTGAATGGTTTCATTAAACCTGAGCTTAACACTAATTTAAGGAAAGTGAGGTCAAGGTCAAAAGAAAGGTCAAGGTCAAAAAAATGTTGATGCAATTGAATAGCATACATCAGTATGTATCAACATATGAAGTTTGATTACACTATCTTGAATGGTATCTTTAAAACTGAGCTAAACACCAATTTAAGAAAAGTGAGGTCAAGGTCAAAAGTAAGGTCAAGGTCAAAAAATGTTGATGCAGTTGAATAGCTTACATCAGTATGTATCAACATATGAAGTTTGATTACACTTTCTTGAATGGTATCTTTAAAACTGAGCTAAACACTAATTTAAGAAAAGTGAGGTCAAGGTCAAAAGAAAGGTCAAGGTCAAAAAATGTTGATGCAGTTGAATAGCTTACGTCAGTAGGTATCAACATATGAAGTTTCATTACACTATCTTGAATGGTATCTTTAAAACTGAGCTAAACACTAATTTAAGAAAAGTGAGGTCAAGGTCAAAGGAAAGGTCAAGGTCAAAAAATGTTGATGCAGTTGCATAGCCCTCATCAATATCTATCAGCATATGAAGTTTGATAAAAATATCTTGGATAGTTTCTTTGAAACTGAGCTTTGAACAGAGCTAAACGCAAAGTGTGACGGAAGGACAGACGGAAGGACGGAAGGACGGAAGGACAGAAGGACGGAAGGACGGAAGACGGACATGACAAACACTATATGCCCCGGCCATATTCATGGCGGGGCATAAAAAACTGCATAATATAAGTGCCGGAAAAAAAATGTTGTATCTATTGCTTTGTTTTTATCGTCAATGTCAACAATGTCAAGGTCACGCGTCCTTTATTTTTAGCGTGCAACTTGTAAACAACATTGAATTGGGGCAAGCAGAAGTAAGGAATAAGTTATGATCATCTTTTTTGAAGATTGTATCAAAATTATCAGTCATCCGACATTTATATCTATGGAATTGAAACCATGGTAAATTCTTCAACTTTTCAGCGCATGCGTACATTAAAGAGGAAGAAGTGAAGCAATATTTTTGTGATGGGTTATACAAAGATTATTTTTACTTTTATTTTTCTCCATTAAATTAGATTTTTTAGGTTCTAAAATCTGTAATTTTCTGAAACCTAATATCTTCAAGAACTGAACAAAATTTGCATGTGTCATGCAAAAATTCTACTGTTGTCAATTTTCCCGTTTGTCCGTCACAGTGTCACTTTAAACGTTATCATTTATAAAAAATACCTATCGGGTATCGACTCTAGAATATCCGTACTAATGCGTATAATTATGAAAAGTTTATATGGAATATATAGTGAAATGAAATAAATTACATGTTTTACGCTGTTGATGTGGGAAAAAAAATTCTTTTTAGAATCCGGTTTATTACGTTGCGGTTGTCCTCCAGGAAAACACCCTTGGCTATATATGAACCCGAAATTTTATATACGTTTTAATACGTTTATAGAACGTTACGGCTTTGCGGCTCTAGAAGTGTCTGGACGTCGAAATGATTTAGGAAACATTGTACTGTTAATAATAAAAAAAATAAATCTCCCAAAAGATCATTTTGTGTGGGGGGTGGGGGGATTAAACATGTTAAATGCTATGAATGCTAGAAAAGTCAACCATTACACGTATGTTAATCAAAAATTTAATATGAAAAGTGTATTTGGTAATAAAATAGACAAACCTGTATGATGAAATATCTGTCTCTGATGGAAATTCCCATTCCGTGTGACTTAAGATTTGTAAATAAGCAATTATACATTTCCACTTGAAGGACCATTCAATTTCCTTATTATGGTAGAAGATTTGTAAATAAGGTTTAGGTCCTATTCACATCACACTTTGATGGATTATCATACTCAAAATGTATCGTACAAATTAAAACGAACTTACATGGGATAACCTAATAGGCAAAAACCCTGAAATGGCGTGAGGCAATCATTTGTATTCTTTTATTAAGTACTGTATAGATATGAACAATTGAGACATCGCTGATGTATCGTCTTGCTATGATGTACCAAGTCGTCTTACAAACCCATCACCACTACGGCCACCACCACACACACATGTGAAGCGTGCCAAACGGGTACAGGGGTTTAAGAATGTGCTAAGGTGCACGTGGGAACTTCTTTATTTTCATTACTTCATTGACTTTTGACCAAAAATACTAGTTATCATATAACCCTAATGACAAATATAATGAAAATATATTGATATCTTACGTTTTAAGCCAAGTACTTTTTACAGCACAAACGGGGACATGAATAAAATTCACACACCAGTACTTGATTTATTGAATCTAAGCGGGGATTTTAAAAAGAAAAAGAATACTAAATAATCTCTTCTGTGCTTTTTTTCACTAAATACAACCGTTCTCATCAGTGATTAGGGTCGCTGTCTCTATAGGCACTTAAATGTTTTATAATTTAAAGTATATACATATCTTACATAAGAGTGGAACGTTTATCAATCTAGGACATGTGCGTTTGAATTATCACTACACAATACAGGGAACATTGCCTGTATAAATTATCACAATACAATAAGGAAATATGTGTATAAATCATTACATTTGTACATTTGCAAAACTGTAGGGACATTTATGTATTCATTATTATATTAAACTAGATGTCATATGGATAAAGAATATTAATAAGCCATAGGGACATTAGTGGATGAAATATGGAGATAGCGACACTAATCAAGCTCAAAAGTTTATTAAATCAGTACAAATTGGAGGCGGAGCAAACACAGACCTCTAAAAGCATCAGAGATGGGATCAGGTGCAAGGGAGGAGTACGCATGTCGCGTGCTTCTTGTCATAATCGGGCAAATGGAGAAATCCGTATATAATTCAGTGTAAAGATAATAGTCTAACAATTAGTATGAAAAACTTCGGTCAGCATGAGACATAATGATAGATTGTATTTGCTGACAAGATCATTGTATCGAAAATAGAATTTGTGGAATGTTGACTTCAGACGAGACTGTTGATATCCTTGTTTCAACAACTTGTTTGTCAATAGCTTGCCTCTTAATTAGAAATTGTTCGTACGTAGAGCATGCTCTTGTGTATCAATGAACTGGGAGATATAAACTACATATGAAGGTAATAAGGGTATTTTGCTACATAGATAAAGAAAGTTGACGATAGAAAAGTTGAAGTCATCACGTTTATCAAAAAGTTTTGTTGTTAAGCTACCATTAACGTCCTAAAACTTACAATAAAA